ACACAGACAACCCCTCGACAATATGCGTTTTTGCATTGCATAGCTGCAAAAAACGCATAAAAAAAGTACAGTGCTATATCCAGAAATGTGCTGTTAATAAGAAAATTTTGATTATTTTTTCATTGCAGTTTTCTGGATTTTCCAACGAATTCGACTTTCCCAAAAAATTTGTTTAAATTTTATCATGCTGAAACTGATCACAGTTGCTACATTCGTCACTGTGATTGATCATGCTGCGTTTGCTGCACCGAATGTTCCGGATTCAGTTCGGTTGAAATCCTCAACATCAGCATTGCAGAGCAGTACCAGGATAACAGAGCAATCTTCGTCGGATTCTAAAACCAACAGCGTAATCTCACTGCTTCTTTAATAACAGACATTAATAACAGAAGTTTTGAGAGTGCTAAAAGAGCGCAAGTTATCTGTCCAAAGTTCTCGATGCCACTGAGATACAACAGTTCACCAACTTTTAATGCTTGAAATATTTGAATTTTTTAGTTTTCTTGAAATGAGGAAAAATTTTTGTGGAATTTTGTTGTTAATAGTCATATTATTTTAGCTGAAGCTTGCATAAATAATGCACATATTTTCGTTTATTATTTGACAATTTTGCACTGGAAAATGTATATTTAATCACTTCGATGCCATGTGAGTTGATGGGATTATGGTGGTTTTCCCTTGCAAATCGATGAAGATGTCGCGAATGGAACTCCTTTTTGCAAGTGATTATGGACCGGGAGAGAATCGAACCACTCCTCTTCACATTCGGCTGCGACATGCTGCCTACTATACAAGCGGCTCGTTCTCTGAAGCACTTGTAAACCGCCACATTTCAGTAGTTGATGGCTTCTCTCGGTACTTCCGCGACTGAGGAAACCGATATTAGTAATTCTATTGTAGTGCCTTTACATGCTACAAATCAGCTATGTAGGGCCATTTGACCCCAAGCTGCGTCTCTCCAGTTAATAGTATATGTCCTGTTTCTTCGGAGGTCGTCCAAAAGTCACATTCGCTTTAGTGTTTGACTAAATGTTTGCTAATTTTCATCAATTGAATTTCCCAGTAAACATTCGAGAAAAATGAAATATGGTACGACAATATGTTGAAATATGTTAATTATATAAAAATGAAAATACACTCAATGCGTTTTCTGCCCGTATCAAAATTTCCACTGATATTTGTGATTTGAAAAAACATGGCCATTGTTATGAAATGAAAACTTTTAAGGTGAATAAGGCAAAAATAAGCGACAGTGGTTCAGCAGACAATCCGAACGATATACCGATTCCACCTTCAGCCACCGATCCAATAGTTTTAAAAGAACCTGCAGCACTGCCCACGGTGGACATGAAAGGTGCCCCAAAAAACCGGTCAATTCCGACATCAGCTGCTGCCGAACTCCTTGAACAGAGTGCACAGGACAAATTGAAGGGGTTGATTGGAGGTGACTGGAAGGATTACTTGAATCCGGGAGAAGAGGAAAAAGCACTTCTCAAAGGGCTCTTTAAACAGGAGGAGAAGCTCGCAGCAGGGTCCTCAAGACGACTTGAGGAGCAGCTTTCGGAAGATGGCCTATTACTGGAGGCTGCAGCTATGATTCCAGGAGAAGCTGACTTGCAAACTGCAGTAGAACAGCAGGAGCAGCAAAGTCAGGAACAGACACAGCAAAACGATCGGATGATCGCACTGGAGCAGTACAGACTGGCTGCACAGGAGCAGCAGCAGCAACAGCACAGGCTAGCCGAACAAGCGCAGTTACCTTATTATGAATGATCCAAAAAGTGTTTGACGTCGAAGTTACAGTAGCAGGAAAAATTCTCAGGACGGTTCTGCAGGAAAACCTGAGCTGAATGGCTGGTTGTCTAGTACTACTGCCTTTAGCTAATTTCACACTTACATTTGCTTGTTTTTTTTTGTTGTGACTTTTCGTGGCAATTTCTCACACCTCCTTTACACCGCTCTTCCCCACCAAACCCGGTGCCATGTTTATTTCGCAGTTAATGCCATCCATTCATTAAAATCTGTTCATTAAAATCTGTTTGCCATGCATTCATTAAAATCTGTTCGCGCACATATTCCTTTTCTTTAATGTTATTCACTTTCGTCCGCTAACTACTGCAGCACCAAGAATAGCAAGAACGCCTGGTGAGTCGATTTCCCAGGTAACTCCCTCCAGCACAAATATCAAAACTGCTCGGGCAGTTGCCACATGGAAATTCTGTGCTGCTTGAAAAACAGAGTTGATTCGCGATTCAGTTTCTTCTATTTCTTCCTTCTAATACGATTTGTTCGATATTTATGAACGAAGCGAACATGCTTATTGCTTCTTTAACTTTTATGACAGGAATTAATTTTCCTTGGTCGGATATGGATTCTGGATTAAATGCTACTTCAATTCTTTTTTTAATTTTTTAGATTATTGGCAGCATTCACTGTTTGCATATTTCTTGATGGTCCATAATTAAATGTTATTCCCTCTACTGTGTTCTTTCTCAACTTACTATTTTTACTTTCGTGTACTCCTCTTTTACCATTTTCAGACTACCAGCTTGATAAAAACAATCCTAGCGAAAAGATAACAGTGAGGAAAATCCGCAGTATTCCACAAAACCAATATTCTTCCCCATGAATTTTATCGGCTAAAATACCATTTTTAAGGTAAAAATTATTAACGATGAGAAAATCTGCAGCACTCCAGAAGATCTCATTATTTTTTCCTTTTGATTTTTCTAGTCTAAGTATAACTCTTTTGATTTTTCTAGTCTAAGTATAGCCTGGATCATATGAACCAAGAAAAAACGATTTTTGGACACGCAGTAGCTTTTCTTGGATAATATGCGAGGCTTACTGTATGAGCAAAGTTATTCAAATAAAATTGAACTCAGTCATTCCGTTTAGGATTCAAAAGGTTCTACATCCTTGAATGCATGATGATTGTATCGTGTTTTGATTATCTTGTATACTGTATGTGTAATTTGACGCGCCTTTCATCTCGCCTTCTTTGGATTATAAACATTTTTGGTCTGCTTCTTCAAATGTTCGCGAAAAAATTCATTACTGACCAAGGTTGCTTTTCACAGATGATTTGATTTGGCCCTTGACAACCATGCGTGCAGGTCTTTTTAAGTATGAAAAATTTATCGGGAGGAGCGAAGCAGTCCTAAAACATTACAAGAAAATGCATGACTGATTAGCCGTTTCATTTCTTTTACACTAGAAAGTACTTCCGAGACGCAACGAAGTCATGTTTTAAGCCTATGTTTAACAATTCAAGCAATTTCATCACATCTATGTACCAAGGTTTAAAAATATGCCAAAAGCTAAAAAGCAAAAACTCCTCCTGCATCTACTTTCAGCAAAAAGCATAGGCATTCGGCAGTAGCCCGACTACACTAGCTCTTTAAAATTCCATTTTTTGAATGATACTAAAACATTTTAGGTTTTTATCTTGATACTTTTTTTAATTTAGAACCTCAACGTGGCCTAGGATTGACAGCGCTGAAGACAAGGTGGTGGTGCTCAATAAAAGCCGAAAAATCTCAAGCAGCTAAAACTTGATAAAGAGCTTTTTTTTAGGAAAACCGTTAAGCCGATAGTCCTTACAGGGAGCGAAACAAACGTCAGAATCGCCAGCACACTGACCACCATGAAAAAATTGCCAGCTGCATAAATGGAGAATG